TTTAACTAATCCACTTCATAGAAGTTTTTGATGTTCCTAATCTACATGTGCCATTTTTGCAGATGAAATGTGCTTCTTAAGTGAAAATCCTCTAACTTCACACGCAGGAATAGCTGGGGGATACAGAAGCTGTTTGAATTTAAATTCTAAGAATTTAGGCATGTTGGATTAGTCTGCTGCTGGCTCCATTTTCTTTTTCAAGCTCATGGCTTTGTTTCCTAAATCCTACTGTTCTACTTCATTAGCTTCACGCAGTAATCTTTCAGTTTGATTTTAGCAAATTGAGATGTATATCAAAGTGTTGCCTTCGTTGTCTCTGTAATACACTGGACAACCTCTTGCTCAGAGATTAGAAACATTCCAAGAGCTGACTTTTCTTTCTGTGTTGTAATTCTACTGCTACTGCAAAAAGAGCAGCAGCATTTGTCCTCTAGCAGCCTGGTGTGAGGCAGACGTACAGTCTTGTGGACATAATTCACCAGGTATAATTTTGTAACCCTCAAAGTGTGAGCTACAGTGGATCCTAGGTTGGTACTAAAAGGGTATATTTGTGCATTTATATGTATGTAATGCTGGACTAAGTTGATGAATTGATAACCGTAAAAAAATGAAAACTAATTATCTATTAATTAAAGACAAAAAAAAGAGAAGTTACAAGTTTATATGTCCATATTAATGCTTAGTGGCTAAAAGGAACAGGATACACCTTAACATTGAGTTAGTGTAGATTCATTCTAGCTAAATGAGATTGCCTGAGGTAAACGTATAATCAGCTTACTCTCCATACATAACTTGAGAAGAGATGTAGGCTGCTATTGGGAAAAATTTAAACCTTAAATAACCTTGATTGGCTTCTGAAAAACGCCAGGTCACTCTTTCCATTTTTTCATAAAGAACTAGTAGTGAATATGTACTTATGTTTATGACTCAGTGGTCAGTGAGAGAAATACAAGCTCTTACTCCTACTGTAGCCAACCTTGCCTGGAGTAAAGGCTGTTCTGGCAGGAGCTTTGAAATAATTTCTTCTCCAGTTGTCTTCATCCCTTTTTTAAGCTCTATGTTCCACTTCTACTTGACCATCTAGAGTCACAGAGTAGTAATATAATTCAGGTTGAGAGGGACTTCAGGAGGACTCTAATTCAACCCCTTACTCAAATTAGTGTCAAGTGTAAACTCAAATGTTTTGCCCAGGACTTTATCTGTTCAGGTCTTGAAACCCTCCAAGGATGCAGATTGCACAGTGTCTTTGGGCAACCTCTCCTGCTGCTTGGCTGAAAGTAAGAACTATTGCTGATTTGATTTATTACCATTGTCTATTTATTTAGGTAATTAGTTAGTTTTATTGCCATGCAACTCCATAAAGTTCTTGGCTCCCTCATTTTGAAATCTCCTTTTGGGCATTGGAAAGGTACTGCTAGACACACCCAAAACATTATTGTTTTCAGTCTGACCTAGCCCAGCTCCTCCAGCCTCTCCTTATAGGGTACATTCTCCAGTGCCAGCGATCTTGATGAACTCCCACTGGACTCACTTTGAGTTTGTTGATGTCTTTCTTGTACTGGAATGGACATGTTATTCATAACTTGACATGATAGTCCAGATGTGGTCTAAAAATTGCTGGGTAAAGGGAAATAATGTAAGCTCCTTGTGATCTTGAAAAATATTATAATTCAGAATCCAGGAAGAACATGAAACAAATCTGGAGCCTATTTAGTTTCTGCTAAATCTGAAGAGAATGAACTCTCATCTGCGTCAGAGCTCCCTGGCAAGCCCTGTCACCCTTGTCTAAGAAATCCTTTCTCTAAAAAATGTCAGCGCATTTCTTCCTTTGTTTTTCTCTCATTCCACAATGTATTGGGTCTGGCTGAGATGGAGTTCATTTTCCCATAGCAGTCCTCACAGTGCTGTGCTTTGCATTGGTAGCTAGAAAGGTGTTGATACCACACCGGTGTTTGGGCTACTGCTGAGCAGTGCTGGCACAGCATCAGCACTGTAACATTCCTTCCCCAGTTGAGAGCAAGATCCTGGGAGGGAACACAAGTAGGCCATCTGACCCAAACTAACTAAAGGGATGTTCTCACACCATATGACAGCTCAGATATAAAAGCTAAGGAAAGGAGGAGGAAGTGGGGCATTAGTTGTTTACAATATCTGCCTGCTGAGAAACTGTCATGCATACTAAAAGCCCTTCTTCCCGGGAAGTAGCCAAACACCACTTGCTAACAGGAATAGAGAATAAACTTTGTGCACGCGTAAACTTTGGCTTTAGTAAACTGCCTTACCTCAGCCTATGAGTCATTTTCCATCTTACTCTCTCTCCTCTGTCTGGCTGGGAAGGGGGTTGATAGAGTGGCTTGGTGGGCACGTGATGTCTAGCCAAAGTCAACCTACCACACATGAAGATACATAATACCTGGAAAAATAAAATTTTTTTGAATTGGGAATAAGTTCCAATGTGAAGAACAAAGAAAAGCTTAATACAGTTAAAAGGCAGATGAAGTGAACCAAAGTAAAAAGAACCTCAGCAACTGACTCACTGGAGAAAGCTATTTCTGATCCATGGGATAATAGAATTTAGCAGCTTGAAATGAATTAGTAACTACAATATGTGAACTTATAATAATTAGGACAAAGTTCACATGGGGATTTACAGACATCACAAACACAAGGAGTGAAGCAACTACCTTTTTTCTGTTAGAGACAATTCTTATAGGCTTGCAAGTGGGAAATGGCTTGTTAATAGCATTGTGGCATTTTACAGCAGGCCAGAGAGCTCGCTGCCAGAGAGAGTGTGTTGCATTTTCTTAGGTAATGGCTCTGCTGGAGGGACAGGAACCAGTTTGCTCAACACAGAAATGGCAATAATTATTTGGTATCAAATAAATCCTGGCAGAGTTATGTGATCTCAGCTGAGTACTGTCCAGATGCCCTTTCTTGTTCCTTTCACATGCTTGCTGGCTTTGGGTTAGTTTAAAGATGTCCCACTGCTTCTCCTGTATCTCCTGTGCCAGTAAATGTCTTCAGGTGAGCAAAGAGTGAAGGATGGAATTTTTTGGGATGCTGATAAGTGTGGGTAAGTGAATAAACCTGTGTTTACTTCTCATATTCAAAATAACGATGGGTGAAGCATAAGTGAAACTCTCTGTTTTAGCAAGAACACAGATATCAGGATTCACATTTCTTTCTGCCTGATGATGCTGTAACTGCTGGTCAGATATGGCAGTGATGTTTTTAAGAGGCAGGGCGAGACAAAGCTGTGCTGCAATATTTATGCTTGCCATTGCTGAAAGCCAAATTAAGGCAATAGGAAGAAATAAGCACTTCTTAGAAGATGAGCACTTCTTAGAAGATGAATATGAATCTCTGTAACTTGTGGTTGTGCAACCTGTTTTTCTTACTGCAAATATGCATCCTTACTGATTCTGCATACTTTATGGATTCATGCTGATTTCATATTTTAATAATTTTTTTAGGTAGATCTTGCTGGTTTTGTCTCTCTCCTTCTGTTTTTTGCCTCTTTCTTCCTCTTCTTTCCCATCTTTCCCTTATTCCTTAGGTGTTCATTTTGGCTTTTTTATTGGTCTTTTAAATTTTCTCATTGCTGGTGTTGTTCACCAGCAGTGTTGTCCTCTCTAGCACCAGCTCCTGTAACTGATGGCTTTTTCATATAACTTCTAAAATTAGAATGCTTTGGTGGTTGTGGACTGATATTAGCAGATTTTGCCTGGAAATTTTTAATGGTAAAGCAGACATTGCTGTACAGATATTTTCACGATTTGTACTGGAGTTGTTACAAGGTTGGTAAAGAAATATGGTAAAGAGATAGAAGGACTTAAATACTGCAACAAGACCACAACTCCAACTACTGCAGTTCTCTTCTTCCAACATTGTGTTCTTATCAGACAAATAATGACAATACTGAGCAAAAGATTTCAGGGTCTGGTACTAGACAGTGATTCACTGAAAATACAGGAGCACATATAAACCTTACTGTTGCATACTAGAATTTTTTTCATTAAAGTGAATTGAATTTGTCCTCTATGTGTCCAGTTCTGGACTCGTCACTACAAGAGAGATATGCACACACTGAAGAGACTCCAAGAGAGAGCTACAAAGATGTTTAAGGGCCTGGAGCATCTCTTCTACGAGAAAAGATTCTGTTCAGTCTAGAGAAGAGAAGTCTTAGGTGGAAACTCATCTATATGTATAAATACCTGGTGGGAGCACATTGAAAAGTTGGAGCCAGTCTCTATTCAGTGTTGCCCAGTGATAGGACAAGAGTCAATGGGCACAAACTGAAACACAGGAGGTTCCCCCTGAGCATCAGGAAACACTTTTTTACTGTGAGGATGACTGAACATTAGTGCAGGTTGCCCAGAGAGGTTGTGGAGTCTCACTCCTTTGAGCTATACAAAAACCACTTGGACATGGTCCTCAGCGAGCAGTTCAAGATGTCTCTGCTTGAGCAAGTATGAGATGACCTCCAGAAGTCCCTTCCAACCTCAACTGTTCTGGTATCCTATGTTTCTTTGTTATTTTCCCAGTAACAAGAAACTTTTAAGGAAATCTTTCTCCTTTACAGTGGCTCTGATAAAGCTAGTGAGGAAGATATGTAATTGGAATCAACTATTTTAACATGTAATCAGAAACTGTTTTAAAGAATAAAAGTAGGCTGCACCATCAGAGTAAAAATGAAGGCTGTTTTTAGCTTCAGAACAAGTGAGTGAACATTGAGGTAGCACCTGCTAATGCCAATATAAGTAGTGGAGCTGCAGCTGCAAATGGAACATTTAAAGCTATTTGTGAAGGACAGTACAGGGTTTTTTTTGGTTGTGTCATTATATTACATAGAAAAAGACAATTCTTTCATGATGGCAAGACTTTGACTGAGAACAAAGTGGTTATCTACAGGAGTTTAGGTGAATCTTAACAACAAAACTAAACTGCTGAAAAGAAGTTATTTCACTTTTAAAGTTTATCTTTCTTTTTTCTTCAAACAGTGGAAGCTCTACATTTAGGAACACTGATGGCAGCACATGGCTATTTCTTTCCAATCTCAGACCATGTTCTAACACTGAAGGATGATGGCACCTTTTATCGATTCCAGGTAGGTATTTTCAATATGTTCTTGACTTGCCCAAATGAAGACTAATATTAAAAGCCTTGCACGAAGGTTCACAGCAAATTTTAACCATACTTAATGTCTTACATAACCCAGTAAATGGTGAAATTTCCCATAAATTAAAAAATGGTAGAAGGAATTTATTTATAAAGTTTCAGCAAAGTGTTAAGATGATAATGACCATTTTGATATCTGGAAAAAAGTATGATAATGCTAAATATCTCTCATGAAATGAATTAATATAATATTTTGGAAATATAATAAAGCAAATTAAATTATCTTATTGACCCTTATTCCTTGCATAGTCTAGTCTTAATTTGGAAAGGGGGATTTTAATTATTAAACTTATAGCAGAAATCTGATAAATAATGGAGAGTAATATTTATTTTCCTTCTTATGTGTGGATTTCCTTACTGGTGGCTGAATAGTATTGGAACAGTGTGTATTCTTCTAACAAGTGCAGAGACATTTTTACTTTTATCTGTCAGTCCTGTTGCATAAAACAAACACACAGATGCTTCAGAACAAGCTGGAAGTATTTATATGTGTGTATGTATGTATGTGTACGCCTATAATTACAAGTATATTATTCAGATACCTACATAGTTATGTTTTATTATATTAGATTTCAAACTGAGGGCCTGGGAGCAGGAGTGGTTTTTTATTCTAATAATGAATAGCAGACTAGAATTTTGAAGAACAATACTGCCAGTGACCTGAAGCAAATATGGTGGCAGAGTATGTATTCTAGAGAAGGAATTAACTTTGCTTGCCATGTGCCACCTTTGGCAATGGTGGTTTTGTTCTGTATTGCTCTTCCTATTAGGTAATCTTTCTGGTAAGTATCACCAACAGCTGGTCCAAGGTCTTCCCTAGATATTTATTGCTTTGAAATGGTATGACGATTATCACTATGAAATTGAGTTTGGTAATTCTGCATTGTTACTTCTAACTGTGTTAAATACAGAATAGTAGTATCTGATAGAGCAAAATCTATTGTCTTCAAGACAATAAACTATGTCTTAAAGATTGTTTAAATAAGGAGCCATCAGGAATAAAATAAAACTAAGACTGTGGTCTTTAAAATTCAGAAGAGAACTGTGATACACTGGAGGCCAATCATAGTCTCAAACATTGTATTATATTAATCACTGTACGATACTTTCTTCAGTATTTTGGCTTAAGTTCTATAGATCCACATAAGGGAAGAGAATGACTCGTAATATTTTTTTAAACCAGAATCTTTGCATGAATACACACATCACAGTCTGGGAAGAAAGAGAATTATAATTGCATACCTGCAAACAATATTATCATATTTTCATATTTAGATCCTGTGAGTCATACAGTGCAAAAAACTTGACCTTCAGTAGAACGGAAAGTTAGATGTGTATATGGGTAGTACAAAGAGCTGTCATTCCAAGCCTCCTCCCCTAGATCCACAGCTACCTTTGATCCTGGTGAGAGTATTTGAAGGAAAAGGTTTATTTTAAGCTCATGGGGCTTCATTCTTCTCAGTATTCAGTATAAAGAAGAGAGATGGCCCATGACTTAAGGGGCTTATTGATGAGGTAAATGTAAAGAAATCATGGAGTGATTGAGGCTCCACTTGCTGGCTTGTCTCTGCATAAGCAGAAGTCAGAAGGACAAAATATCCAAGGACTTAATTTTGCAGAGCATAGTACTTACTCATAGGAGTGCTAGCCTTTGAATTCTGTCCAGCTGCTGGCCTGCTTCTGTCTCAAGCATGGGAAATAAGCACCTCTGCTGACATGATAGTACAGGAAAAGTACAGGAAAGTACAGGCTAGAATTAGCTGCACTGTGAACCACTGAGACTGCTGCAGCTACACTGCTGTGAGCTTTCCTCAGTGTGAGCTTTCCTCAGAGAGATCTAGAACCTACATGTTTGGACATGAAGCTTCAGTGAGGACCAAACTGTAAACTTTATCAGTTTATTTACATAGGTTAAGAATTCGGCACCTGTTTGACAAACATGTATGAAATAAGATGGCTTTCCTCAAGTGTTGCTCAGTCTATATCTGCAGTGTTGTTTGCTGTTCTGTGGTACCTTTTGCATTGCTATTCCTATGCTAACAATGATAAAACAATACAACTTTAGCTGTCAATGTATGGCATGAGAAAAAAATTCATAGTGGTGTCATACTGTTAACTGGAGTTATAACAGCAAAATTCATATGATTACAACTCCATGTTCCCCACCAAAGTAAGGCTTGTATAAAATCTGTTACTGAAGCTGTTAAATTGGAAGATGAAGACAGCATAGTCAATGGGGAGGAAAGTTTGACTGCAAATGTGTGAATTTTGCACTAGAACAGATGTTCAGGTGCTTTGGAAATGGTACCCTCTGAGTATTGGACAGGATTCTAAGATTTCTGATATTTTAATAGAAAGAGAAAACTGTGAACCTGCCAGCACTGAAAAGTTCAGAAGCCATCCCTGCAGAGAAATCTCTGCAATTTAAAGAACTCTCCTACAAAAAACAGACTAACTGTAATAATGTTCTCCATGCACTTCATGTTTTGTTTTCCAAAGGGTGACACATTCCCTCCTGATAGTATTACGTTCAGTTTGTTTTAAACAACCTTCTTTTTATAGAAATAGGTAAAAGCAGTGGAGATTTTTTGCTTCATTTGGGAAAATGCCCTTTTCCAGGCAAAAATTATACTTTTTCAGTTATAACTCTTGCCATCAGGAGGCAAGAGTACAGTTACGTCTGCTTTTTTAAATAATATGAAATAAATAATTCTGGATCATTCTTTGACCTACTCAGGTGTTAATTAGGTTAGTTTATGTGATATCAATTTAATTCAAAGGAGGTGGATCTAAATATTAATTGCCTTATTAAGAGATGACTTTTTTTATTAGTCTCAATAAGTAAAATGAGAAAAGCTGCATTGCCTTTTCCTATTAATTTAAGCCTTGGACCAAAGAAGGAGCTGAATGCCTTCTAACCACCCTCTTCTACCTGAGAGTAAATAGATATGAGGGGCCCAAATAAGAAAAGCAAGCTGCACCTTAGATTGTCCCTGGGCCAGGGATTACCCATTGAGACATTTCATCTCTGTCCACATATATTCGTCCTGGTGAGGAATGCCTGACTTACCCTCTCAACTGGTAAGCTTCTGCAATAGCATCCCAGGAAAAATATGTTGATTTCCTCTACAAGTTCCAAATGCATACTAAGTGTCTCAATGTTAATAATGAAATATAATCTTCCTAATATCTTTTGGCTTTAAACAAACTTCTAGGATACATGAGATTAGTGATAATCACACTTCCATTTAATAAATTAATTTTCAGAGATGAGGGTTAGGTTTTGCCATTGTTTTGTAACTTTTAAGATGAAAGGCACAAATAACTGAGAAAAAGTGTGAAAATGGGAACACTTTCTTGTGAAAGCATGAGTCTGATGAAGATAGCAGCAAAACTCATGGACCTTGGCGAGACAAAGATTTGGACTGTGATGTCTTTTCCTGTTCTACTACTGGGACCGCTTTCTTGACAAATGCTTTTAACCTCACTGGCTTTGTTTTCCTGTGCCTAAATTGGGGCTAGAATTATACAGCAATTACTGTAAGGATCTTGAAATGTCTTTGCTGCAAAATAGCTTAGAGTGTGAAGTGTTGTGGGTCTTCATGTTTCAAGTGGAATGACATTGCTTTACGCATCTCTTTGAGTCATCCTTACCTGCCTAGCTACCTCTTGGCTCAGTCCTGAGCCAGCCTCTGGCCATTCTGAGTACTGATTCTGTGGCTGAACATCACAGCTCTTCAGCCACTCTCCAGAGCCTTGCTGGATCACCTACTGTGCCTTGAGGGAAGGATTTTATTGGAAGCCAGATTTTAGAAATAAAAAAGGAAAAGGTTATCTTATTCAATATTTGGCAGATTTTCTTTGGCAATTGCAGGTGCAATGACTAATTCATTTTCTCTTCAGCTCAGGCTGAAGAGAAAATACAGCATATACAGGTTCTGTTTAGGTTTCAGAGGGAAAAATATTTCAAATCCACGTGTCTTTCTGACTTCCTCATCAGTGCCCTTTTTTCTTTATTAACTCCTTAGGCAAACACACTTTCCCCCACACTGCTTTCCATGCTCATCCCCTTTTCAGATTAGAAAAGAGAAGTCACAGAGTCAAAATTTTGTTTCTAAAACTCTTTTTTTAAGAATTTTGAGCTAACCAAGGAGCACTACTTGCTGGCGTCCTTCCTCTATGGGCTTGACAGTGCTAGACTAACAATCTTACCCTTTTCCTTTACCAGGAGATCATTTCTGTCAACTGCAATTAATTTAAAACAGAATGCCCATGAATTTTGCCATCCATCATGCAAAGCATTTGAGATTGTGCATAACGACTTTTCTGCAAAGACTTGATTTCAACTGTTTATAAAGGCTCCCTGGTGCCTGTGAGAAGAATAGCAGTAATATGCAAGTGTTTATAAGTGATTTGAATATTCCTCTCCCATCCAAGTAATTGGATTTTAAAAAATTCCATGGAGTGGAACAGCTTCAGAGGCAACAGCTCTTTTCTTATTACTATCAACGAGGGGTAGCTGAAAGGTGCTTAATGATTTCCCTCCTCTGTAATACAGTTTAATGCATAGAAATTAATCATGTTTTATAAAAGCTGTGGGAAACACTGATTTTTACAAGTGGCTGTTTCATTAGCTCAGATATTATTATTGATTAATTTTGTGGTAGATCCAAGGCAGATCTATTTGCTTTATCACAGGATTGCTTATGATGCTTAGCAGCCACTGCATGCCAATTTGTTTATTGTGGAATATGTGCTATATTACAAGATTTTGTTTCATATGACTTTATTAACAGGAGAATTATGGATTTCCAAGGCTAGGTTTACTTAATGATATTAATGTATAATGCAAGAGAACCAGTATGCATTTGTGTGTACAAAATCAGTTTTCTGCCAATGGCAGAAAGATCCTTGTAACAACCTATTTTG